AAAAAAAAAAAAAAAAAAAGAAAGGAAAGAATGAAAGAAAAAGAAAAATTCTCTGAGAGAAGCAAAAAAAAATTTACCTTTCTGCAATTATAAAAATCTCGGTGGGGGTTGTTCTTCAGCTCCTTTAGCTCATCCATCTCATTGAGCATTTGATGGACCTGAAACTTGGAGGAGAGGAACTTCAGGCGCCGGTGGGCATAAGTCTTTCTGTGAAAAATAAAATTACACCATTTTTTAAAAACTCCACATCCTACAGAAAACAAATGTAATTACAAAATCATCAGGACCTTTATTACTCATAGGAAACAATTATTAGAACCAATGAATGTTTGCGGCACCTCTGTAGTTAATCTCACTGAAAAGTACTGAGCTCCAACTTTTCATCAAAATTGGATTTTTTAAAAAGTTGGATATAATAGTGAGAGAGACTTGGAATGGCATTAAAAATCAATGGAGCCAGGCGTGGTGGCACATACCTGTAACTCCAGTATTTGGGAAACTGAGGCAGGGGGAAGCTGTGAATTTCAGGCCAGCCTAGACTGTATAGTGAGTTCAAGGCCAACCCAAGCTGCATAGAGAGATATAGCAAAAGAAAAACAGAGGCTGGGGATGTGGCTCAGTGGTACAGCCCTTGTCTTGCATGTGAAAGTCCTTGGATTTGATCCCCAACACCACAAAAAATAAAATAAAATAAAATCACTGGAGGAGCAGCATCCTTCAAAGTTAAGGGCCCTAGGGCCGGGGAGATGGCTCAGTAGAATAAGCACTTCCCTGGCAAGTGCAAGGGCCTGAGTTCAATCCCCGGTTCCGCAGAAAAACAAACAAACAAAAAACAAAGTTAAGGGCCCTGGCCAGGTGTGGTGGCACACGCCTGTAATCCCAGCATTAGGGAGCCTGAGGCAGGAGGATCACCATGATTTTGAGGCCAGCCTGTACTACAAAATAAGGTCTTGCCTCAAAACCAAAAAGGGCCCTGCTTTGAGTCAGCAGATTTGGACTTGAATCCTGGTTCAACCGGCCGTGTGGCTTTGGGCAAATCACTTGTCAAAATTTCAACTCATAAAACTGTAATTATAAAAATATTCATAGAGCAATCTTAAAAAGGAAAAGCAACTACACATGAAGGATTTAGGACGGTACATGACCATAGCGAGCACTTAATATTTATTCTTACTATCAGTCGTAGATCGTTGTTTAGCTCTTGGGAAACACTTACACAGGTCCTTGAGCAATTAAAGCAAGCAAAAAATTCATGTCGTCTAAGAAGGCATCCAGATTGGGGTAGGGATATGGCTTGGGCTCGTCTTTGCTGGCAGCCGCTTCGTTAGGATAGATGTACACTACACCGTGCTTCATCTGGAGGTGATAGCCCAGGTTTTCAGGCAGGTTATCTGCTCTGAAGGGGTCTTCGCCCTTCTTCGGCGGAGGGGTAAAGACTTTTTAAACAAAACACAGAGTACTATATCAGCAAAAAGATGAAGGACTATGTAAAAATTACTAAAATAGGAAACACTGAAAAAAATCTCATTAGTTCGACATCTTATACTTGCTAAGTTCTAATCATGCAATTCAATTTCTCTATTAAATGAAGTCTCTTTCACATTAATTTTTCACAGGTAACTAAATTCATAGTATGAAATAACTATAGCAACAATATTTTAAGCTCAGTATGGTGGCACTTGCCTATAATCTCTGCACTTGGGAGGCCGAGGCAAAAGGATAGAGAGTTTGAGGCTGGCCTGGAATACATGAGACCTTATCTCAAAAAGCAAACAAAACAAAACTGATCATATTTTGTCTACTATAAGAATGATTTGCTGGGCCCAGGGAGATAGCTCAGTGGTCTAAACACCTGCCTGACAGGCACAAGGACCCAGGTTCCATCCCTGGGACCACATGCTGTACCACTGTGCTGGCCACTGAGACCGGGCATGGTGGCACACCCCTATAATCCTAGTGCTGGGGAGGCTGAGATAAGAGAATCACTATGAGTTCAAGCTGCGTAGTGGGATCCTGTACCAAATAAATAAATAAATAAATAAATCTTTTTTTTAAAAAACAGTGAATTATTTGCAAGTATTTTAGATGTATAGCAAATCAACAATTGCTTAAAAGCAAAGGTAAAAGTAGTTAAAAATAGAGTTTGTGGGCTAGCTAGATGGCTCAGCAGACTAAAACACCTGCTTAGGCAGAGTGCAGTGCCCGGGGTTCGATCCCCTTCATGCTGTGTCGGCCCCACCCCCAGGGCATGGCAATTGAGATTGAGCAAAGTGGCGCTTGCCTGTAATCCCAGCACGTGGGAGGCTGAAAAACAGGAGAATCAGTATGAGCCCAAGCTACGTAGTGAGACCCTGTAGACCCTGTACTAAATAGAAAAAAAAAAAAAATAGTTTGCATGTTTATCTTATTTAAGCCAATCTCCTTTATTGGTCTTAGAGTATTTGCTTAAACGACCTTTAATTTTTTGTTTTTGACTTTTGTGTTTTGAGACAGACTGGCCTTAAATTCACTGTGTAACCCAGGCCAGCCTCAAAGTCTTGGCAGTCTTCCTGCCCCAGCTCCTGAGTGCTGGGGTTTGACTTCTTTATTTATTTATGTTCATTAGCACATTTGCCATACACGAGCACATTCGCTGTAGAGAATTGGTATCTGTACATATAAATCTTTAATGCTTTTTTCCTTCCTCTTCCTCTCCTCTCTCTTCAGTCTCCCCAGTCCCTAAACCCCCTTAGCCCATCTTACAAAGTCTACCTACCTGTTTCCTATCATCTATGTTTTACTTTGCCCTTTAAATTATTTATACCAGGGCTAGTGAGATGGCTCAGTGGTCTAAAGCAACCTACTTAGAACAAGCTTAGCAAAGCACAGGGACCGCGGTTCAATCCCCCACACCACATGCCAGCCAGCCCCGCCCCCTGGTGGGCTGAGCTGGCCACACACACACACACACACACACACACACAAATAAATAAAATTAAAAAAATTATTTATACCTTGGGATTCACATATGAGAAATCATGCAATATTTGTCCTTCTGTGTCTGTTTTATTTTACTTTATTTTTTGTCTTTTTGAGACAGGTCTCTCTGTGCAATTCAGGCTGGCCTTGAGCTCACTTTGTAGCCCAGGCTGGCCTGGAATTGCAATGATCCTCCTGCCTCAGCCTCTTGAGTGCTGGGATTACAGGAGTGTGCCACCATGTCTGGCTGTCTGGTTTGTTTAAAAAAAAAAACTAAAAATAGAAATCACATTTGACTCAGTTATATCTCTTCTGAGTATCTCCCAAAAGAGTTAAAGATGACATACGACCATGATGCCTGCATACCCATGTTTATAGCAGCGTAAGCCACTGAAGCCAGAGCTTGAAAACAGCCTATATGCCCATCAGCAGATGACTAGATGACAAAAATGTGGCATTCAACTGGGTGTGGCCTGTAACCCAGCTCGTGGGAGGCTGAGGCAGGAGGATCACTCTTAAGTTTGAGGCCAGCCTGGGCTACATAGTCAGTTTAAGGCATTATATGGCAAAACCCTATCTCTTCTTTAATTTTTTTTTAAAGTATAGTATTTATAAAAGACAAAGGAGTACAACTTAGCCATAAAGAAAGATAAACCCAGGGGGCTGGGGAGATAGCTTAGTGGAATAAGTGTTTGCCTGTCAAGCTCAAGGTCCTGAGTTCAATCCCTGGTGCCACCAAAAAAAGAAAAAAAAGATGAATCTTAAAAAGAAAATTAAAAGAGGGGGCCAGGGAGATGGCTCAGTAGAATAAGTGCTTGCCTGGGAAGCACACAGGCCTGAGTTCAATCCCTGGTTCCACCAAAAAAAAAAAAAAAAAAAAAATTAAAAGATAAATCTGAATCATTTATAGGGAAATGGATGCATCTTAAATAGACTAGACTAGTTCTAATTTAACAGAAAAATAACCGCCATTACGGGCATTCCCTAGCAGACTGGTGTGTTTGTTATAACTGATGAGCCTATGCTGACTCATCTAATCATTCAAGCCCATTGTTTATGACTCACTCTTGGCTTCTGTACATTCTATGGGTTTTGACAAGGTATAATGACAAGGACTCTCCCTACAGTATCATGCAGAGTAGTTTCAGTTCCCTAAATATCCTCTGTGTTCCACCTATAATGGTTTTAATATAAAGGTAGATATAAAATTTTATGTCAGGAATTATGATTTCATGATAGTTACTTTTTTTTTTGGCAGAACCGAGGATTGAACTCAGGCCCTTGTGCTTGCCAGGGAAGCGATTATTCTACTGAGCCAATTTAGAGCATACACAATTTTTGCTAAAGGAATTGAAAAAAGATTAAGTGGGTAAATATTTCCATAGTTCTGAGACTGATAATTTCAGCTCAAGAAGGCCAAGGACAGTTCTGTCAGAACTTTCAGCACTCATGCCTATACTTTACCAAGTATGATCTCTCTCTCTCTCTCTCTCTCTCTCTCTCTCTCTCTCTCTC